GAAGAATTCTCGAGTGAATTTGGAGGTGGAATTCGCTCAAAAGTGAGCTTGTGAGAGGATGAAAGGAAATATCCCTGGAGGAGCCTTTGAAGTTCGCATTAATTCTCTCTCCTCCTCGCTTCCTTTATTCCCGGCCCTCCCTCCATTTTACAAAACACCGAGAAGTTAATTTATTTCGGGGAATTGAGGTGACACGAGTGATACCGAAAATTCATTTAACTGGAGAGGATCTATTTACAGTACGTCTAGTTACAGAGTAAAATAAAAAAAATCGTGGTATGTGTTTAACCCGAGTTTCTCTGGAATTGTGAAGTAGTTAGGGAATTCTGATACAAGCCAACTTCGGTTCTCTCTGTGTATCTTCTAAATGAGGAATGGGGGCTCTGTTGGCCACAGTTTTGTAAATTCGGTGCTCCTTAATTAGTTGAACACTATTTCATTTCAAATCCTGATTTGTGGATAAATTGTCTTCAGAAAAAATATTTTATTGAAGATATTATTGTTGTTCTATAGGTTATACACGTATGAAAAAATCGTATAGAAATTTTCTATACGGATTGCGTATAGAATTTCTATAGGATTTTCGTATATGATATTCGGATATTTCTAGACGGATATTTTTTATACAAATTATTTCTATAGTTTTAATCCTATACGACGCACTGCCACATCTGTAGAAACATTTCGTATGGAGTTGCGACCTTTCTCTACGTTTTTCTTGGGAGCGTTTAGACATCTTTCGTATAAAAACAAAAATTTATGTCAAAATTCATGTATAGAAATAATTCGTATAGAAAATATTTGTATAGAAATATCCGAATATCATATATGGAAATCCTATAGAATTTCTATATGATTTTTTCATACGTGATTGTCTTTCAAATCTATTTTATTTCACCTTCCACTCAAGAATATTAATAATTAATTTCTATAATAAATTCAATTAATTTTTAATTGATCTTCACCTTCAAAATATTTTATTAAAAATATTTTTCTCATTATTATTCTTGACTTGAGAGTATTCTATTTAGAATTTTATATATGTTATTATATTACACTTTATGTTATTTTTCGATCAAGAATATTAATTATTATATTATGAATTTCCATCATTAATTTAAATTATTTTTAAATTGTTCTTAAATTTCAGAATATTTTGTTACAAAAGTTTTTCTCATTATTATTCTTGATTTGCGAGTATTCTATTTAAAGTATCATTATATTATATTTTATGTCATAATTTAAAAAGAGATTTAAAAATACTTTTGCTATGAAAAAGATAATTTGCGAATAAAAAATATTTCTGTTATATGATCCCCAATAATAATTCTCCCGGCGTAATGATGACATTCCCCATAAAATTTTATGAAATTGATACAATACCCTGCGATAAGCGATTGGAAAGGCAAAAAATGGAAACCACGAGCCGAGGATACCCCGGAGGATACAGCATCCATTTGCGCATGAGATTTACTAAAGATTATCCGAGCACCAAGTTTATTACTCCATACCACCGTGTACACCGGAGTTACGCGGTTTTTCCATCCCTCCCGTCTTCATTCGTTTGCCGAGTGAGATTGCCGGACAGAAATAATAAATGTAATGAGAAAATTCAGTGAATTTTTTTTTTCCAATCTATTTTTGCTTCTTCATCGGGGATTTAATTCACTCAATTCCCCCTCGTGAAATGTTATAAATAATCCATATAAATTCATGCGAAACATATGAAAAAATCATAAAACAACAAATGTCACATTTAAAAAACCAAAATTTTAAATTAATCATTTCATTTATTGTTCAAAATTTGTGTTGAAAAATTGAAAAAAAAAACGTTTTGCCCCATTCATTTTTGAAAATACGGAATAATGCAGTTTTACGAAACGAAAAGTCCCCGAATTTCAGGAATTATTGGGCCAAAATGGGTCGTCCTTTTATGTAATAAAAAATTCAATTATTGTTCAATGGTTTTTATTTTAACAAGAGACCCCTACGCAGCCAAAAACGTGATGAAAATAAATTCTTCAGCTAAAAGCACCTCCAGAAGAGACGTGCAATCCGCAAATACCCATTGAAATCAGTAGAGACTCGCCAACAAAGGCAAGCCTTTCTGCAATTTAATGGAGCCCTTAATTTCGTTGTCACGTTAACGAGGCACCTGGAATTGATTGCAATTAGAGTTACCTATGTTTAGGTTTAACCATGCATATTGCGAGCTTACGTGTACCACTACAAATCTGATTCGTAATTAGTGGAGCTTTCACTGGTGGTTAGGAAAATTGTTTCCACTGACGTCTAGTTGAATAATGGCTTGAATCTCCAAAACTCACTAGAGATGAAATATTCTTAAAACGAGAATTCTCCTCTGTTAAACTCAGTAGAGGAAAATTATCCCACAGCCAGTAATAATGAATACTATTTTTGCCCCCTTTTTGGAGCCCTATCCATCGACATTAATTGAAATTTAATTCACCTATTAATTTTAAGAATTTTAAATTTTTTTATCGGTTGTTTCAGGATAAATAAAAAAAAGTTGTGAATTCATTAAATGTCGGCTTGAAAAATTTATTGCGATGTTCCTTTGATCGTATTGGAAAATGGAGCCGATAATAATTGTTGTTTTGATTTAAAATGAAAATTGATTACAGAAGAAATATAATTCAATTGAACAAAATAAAACAAAACGATAATCAACAATAATTTAATTTTCTAACTAATTTAATAAGAAAAGTAAATGCTGTAGGAAGACAAAGACAATTACCCCTTGTTTCATTAACAAAATAATATGTTTTCCTTCAGTTTGCAGTATTCTTGCCAAGTTATTCAGAATATTTAATACACAAAAAACTGCATATCCAGCATTTAAAAATGTTCGTAATTTCCTGTAGCCCTCCCCGAGAAACCATTCACCCCCATAAATTCCGAAGAATATACCCAAGAAATTAATTCCAAACAATAAACTCCCCGGAAACAAAAAATACTCATTCAACCAATTTCCAAAACTCACTAGAGATGAAATATTCTTAAAACGAAAATTCTCCTCTGTTAAACTCAGTAGAGGAAAATTCCCTCACAATCAGTAAGAAGGAATACTATTTTTGCTCCCTTTTTGAATCCATCGACATTAATTGAAATTTAATTCAATTGAACAAAATAAAATAAAACGATAAACGACAATAATTTAATTTTCCAACTAATTTAATAACAAAAGTAAATGCAGTATGAAGACAAAGACAATTACCCCTTGTTTCATTAACAAAATAATATGTTTTCCTTCAGTTTGCAGTATCCTTGCCAAGTTATTCAGAATATTTAGTATACAAAAAACTGCATATCCAGCATTTAACAATGTTCGTAATTTCCTGTAGACCTCCCCGAGAAACAATTCACCGCCATAAATTCCGAAGAATATACCCAAGAAATTAATTCCAAACAATAAACTCCCCGAAACAAAAAATATTCATTCAGCCAACGAGTCTCAAAAGTTATGCTACATATTACAGTAGTTTGGCATCGACCGCAAGTAGAATCCTGCGCGTGTCTCCCGGCCCAAGTGACTGTGACACTCGGTAATGCCCCGAAGGCAAGTGTGCGAGTACATATACATTAGGTTTATTGCGATGTACGTCAAAGAGTCACGGTGAATTTCTTCTCCCAACTCCCCGAAAGAGGATAAAGACTGAAGTCTGGGGAGCACTGCATCCCGAGGCTTCCCGTCACGCTCTGCCCCGTGACATCGATCACCCGAGTGATTGATAGGGTACGTGGCAGAGCTCCTCAGCCCTCTTCAATTTTCCCCTCTCATTTCATCCTGACTTTGGCGCTTTTTTCCGACTTTTTCCCCCTCATGATTGCGAGTTTTGTAATAGGCCAGGTGTATATAGGGTGTAAATCCTGGTGACCCGAGTAACCAGCTAAGACCGGAAGGATCGATACCCTCGGTCAGAGCTCAAGTCCCGATAATCCCGCGAATACGAGCCCTCGGGGGAAAAATGCGGTTGAATCAAGTAAATGGGGAGCTGAAAGGCCAGCCATACAGACTTAATCCTCAATGAGGTCTCTTTGCTGTCTTAATACGCCCGATGAAAAGGCGAACTTAACGATCTGTGCTAATGAAATGTCAAGGATAGAGATGTTGTAGATTTTAGGTTCAGGGAAGGAACCAAACTAAATTATACAATTTTAGAAAAAAAAACTAAATTTCGAATTTCTGTAAAAATTTAATGTAATTCAGAAATTTTGAGAGGTATGAAGACTATGAAGAGGTATTCTAATCTATTCTATTCATGAGACATGAATATTCAGGGCCAAATTACCCTGAATTTTCAAATAATTGAAAATTGAAGAATATGTTTATCGGAATTATCCAGTTTACAACAATTTTTGCGGAATAATTAGACTAAAATTTACAGTTCTTATTGATTTTTCTCCCGAAATTCAGAATTTTCAATGACGAAATTCCTGGAAATTTTCGTGGAACTTCAATGTGATAAACATTTCCGAAAAGTGAACTGGAAATTTCAGTTAAAAATCAGTTGAAAATTTAAAAAAATTCTTGATGCGTGAAGAATTATTTTTGCAATAACAATAACAAAATCCATTGAAAAAAAATCAAGAAATCAAAAAGCAATTTAAAAAATCATTGAAATTGCATTTAATTTTTCCTCAATTCTGAAGTTTTTTTTCCATAAACGACTCGATCTTTTTTAAGTGTTAAATTATCTCTTTAAGGAGGGATTTTACGAGAAAATCTGAATAAATATTTTCCGCAGATAATTTTCTCATCTACAAAAAAGATTAAGTGACATTTTCTTCTTAAATCACTCGTTTTCGAGATAAATCGGTTTAAAAAAGACTATCTTACCTTATAAAAAAAATTAACAACCATTTCATTATTTATTCTTTTCTAAATTTCATTCCCTCTCCCGTTTAATATTTTCCAGGGCAGTGACCACCATTTTGCCGAATGAAATACCTCACCATTCCCGATTATTCACAAAAGCCAGTGCTTGAAAAAATCCCCAAGAAATAGCCAAGTCGAATCCAGATATACATTCCCAATATTTCCCAACATAAACTAAAAATGGAACGTAGAACTGGGTGAAGGGACAATCCCCCGAGATTTCGAGAGCTCCTCGATTCGGGTACATAACGATAATAGGTGCACATTCTTCTGCACATACATCCCAGGCATTTACTGACACACCTGGACAACGTGAAACCAACCGGGAACAACGCGGAGAATTCACGGATATATATTAGACATCAGCTCGTGACGTGCATCCAAGTATGTACCCATTGTTTGCTGACATTTTCCAGTCATTTTGGGGAATGGGATATTTCCATTATCATGACAACTAATTCCATAAATTCATCGGACAACCGGATATTAGCATTTTCATCGTTGGTATTTGATTGGAAAATATCGGAAATATTAGTTCAATCATTCGAATATTAATGGTTGAGTGGGTTTCAATATTGTCGAGAGCATTCATTGGAGAATGAAATAATTTATGGCGTATGTCAGCCTCCAGAGATATTTGTGAGGGATAATGAAGGTAACATGATGATTAAAAAATAATTGAAAGAGCAAAATCAATGGGAATTCATAATTTGTCATTTTATTAATTGGAAAATGGTAAAAAACATTTACTGGAAAAATTTACAAGCCAGAAATTTTTTTCAATATAATGCAATAATACTTTCTTGCATTAGTTTTGCAACTAATGAAAGATTTTTTAATTAAAAATATTTTTTTCTTTATGAAAAAAATTAAATCAAGAATCAATGATTTAAGAATATTTCATGCCATTGTATTTCATTCTATGTTATTTCCCACGCAAGACTAAGTCCTGTTAAAGCTAAAAACTGTTTATTACTCAATTCATGGAACGCAATAAAAACAAAATAATTAAAAATCCAATTGAACAATTAAAATCGATTAAAATTCACAATTTCGCAGAAGATGAACGAAAAATTTTAACAAAACAATTCGAAATCTAAAAAAATCTTCAACAATTAATTGAAGCTCAATAGTTGCTCATCGCGTCTTGCAACTAATTTTTTTTATTGAATTAACAATATTGTTTTCTTCGTTCAAAAATTAATTTAAGGTACTCTCGATTAAAAACATTTTCAATCATGATATTTCATCCTTTTTCATTCTTCACCCAATAATATCTTCAATTAAACAAAGAAACAATTTATTGTTAAACCCACAAAAAACAAAAAAAAATGATCATTACAAATTCTATTGAACAATTAACATTAATTGAAATTCGCAATTCCTTAATTGAATAGCAGATGATGAAACAAAAATGTTCATAAAACAATTCAAAATCTGAAAAAAAATCCTCAACAATGCACTGATTACTAACGATAATCATCAAAAAGATGAATTAAGTCTCATAAAAAAATCAATTACACCGACAATTACAGGAATGCAACGACGCAAGTACAACAGTTGTTCGTGATGTCTTGCTACTACTGCTGCAGTTGCTGCTACGAGAACGAGGAAGACCAAGTAATCGGTGAATTCAGGGGTACAGGGACCAGAGTACCGTACAGTAGCAGTGGTGGCAGTGGTAACAGTCTGGCCATTGCATCTGGAATCTCAGCCCTTTTATCACTCGTGATCGTTTCGATTGCTATTGGTACGGGTGAGTGGCTCTTAACCGAGGAAAAGCTGCCGAAAGCTTTCTCAGCCAACATTACCGCCGAGCCGGACAGTAAGGTGACTTACAGTGGCCTTTGGAGGGTCTGCGTTGCCACCAGTGAGTTATCCCACCATTGGGAGGAAAATTTCACCCTTTATCTAAGTAGATAAACTATCGTTCCATTCTATTTTATCTGCTCCTTTCCGAGTGCTAAATCGTACTTTTTGCGCCGACGGACGTAATGATGTGTTTTACCCGATTTACCCGATGTATGGCCGTCAATTTTATGCAGAGATTAATTTTTTTTTCATTTGTATCGAGACGAATACTTCCAAAATGTGGATTTGAATTATCTACCTGCTTTTTAACTAATTAAGACGCGTATTTATTCATCAATAATTTGTAAAAAATTACCTAAAAAACAAAATTGATTAGTTACAGTAATAGAAAAAAGTTTGAGTTTCATGGACATCTGAATATTTATTTTCCGGAGAATGACATTGAATTTAGAAGAAAAATCATGAAAACCTAAGGATAAATACTTTATTGCCCTTGTCATCTAGTTTTTTATTTTTTTTATCGTTGTAAAATATTTTCGTCAACGTTTCCGCTCTAGCTCCGCGTGCTAAATCGTACTTTTTGCGCGGATGGACGTAATGATGTGTATTTACCCTATGTATGGCCACCAATTTCATGCACAGATTATTTTTTCTTTATAATCCGTATCGAGGCAAATACTTTCAACAGGTGGATCTGAATCTACATTCGTTGTAACTAATTAATTCGAATATTCGTTAGCAAATAATTTGTGAAAATTACCTGATAAACAAAATCGATGAAAAAAATGCTGGAAAAAAATTTGAAATTTTTTTAATTCGATTCAGGAGAAGAAAAATCATGAAAACACATGGAAAATTAATTTATTGGCCTTGCCATATTGTTTTTAGATTCATTATTGTTGTAAAATGATAGTCGTCAACGTTTTAACCCTAATTCCGGATCCAATAATTAAATCTGTCTTTAAAAAATAAAATTGTAGGGCCATTGAACTATTATCTTCAGGAGAGTGACATTGATTTCCATTTAGAGTAATATTATACTCTTTGACGCTTTGATGGTAGTTTTCAGTTTAAAAATCCTGAAATTTAGATTCCCCTGAAAATTGGATGAAATTCCAAGTTTTCGAGCAATAAGGAGCTGAGAATTTCCCAACTTGGTTAAATTAGCAATTAAAACATGAATATTCAGTACCAAATTACACGGAATTTTTAATTTATAAAAAATTCGCGAATTTGTAAAATGTTTCTAAATTTTCCAGATTCTCATTAATTTTCATGGAATAATTGGCCTAAAATTGACACTTTTCCTTGTTTTTTCGGCAAAATTATCCATTTTTAATGATAAAATCCCTTCAAGTTTCGGTAAAACTACAATATGATCAAAAAAAATCCGCCAAAATTATTTTTAATTATTCACCCTTCAAAAAATTGAACGAAATAAAAAAAAATGCTACCCAAAAGTCCAAAAGCCTTAGTTATTCATAGACTCAGTCAATGACGAAGAAAAAGGGCTAACGGCATTAGTAGTACGAGGGAAAAAAATCCATTAAAAAAACCAACCAATTGCATGAGGTAGGGGGTAAAAAACTCCAAGTGGCTCAGAAGCAAAAGTCCTCCTAGGGATGAGGAAATGACTCGTTACCAGGCGCACCGGAAACCACTCCTGTCTTCCTCCGCCGAGTGAGAGACGGAGAGAAAGAATTAAAGTGGGATGAGGTTGTCGAGGGGCTGTGGAACGAGAGGATGAAGCGATGCTCACTCAGGAAAGTACGTCCCCCCGGGCAAATCGAAAAAATCTCGAATTAAAAATTCCCCTCTTCAAGCGTCTCCCGAGGTGGAGGGCGTTGGAGAGGCAATCGAATTCCGCTCCGACGATCTATAATCGAAAAAAAAAATAAGATAAAACAAAGAGAGTCAATCTCCTGAGTCGGCTGGGGGATATTTATTCAGAGGTTGGATTGATTTTCCCGGAGTTGCGGTTGCATTCTGGACTTCTTGATGCGACCGATGGACAGTGTTACGTTATTAGCATTCATATTTGAGAATATCGCACAGGACGGGAGTACGCTATACGCTGGAAACTCGGTGCTCGTCGGTGTATTTAATTACTAGAGCGAGACGGGCTCCGACGGCTTCCGAATGGTCGGGGGAAGTGAGTGTGTACCGCTCCCCTTAACAACCCTCATCCTGCTTCCTCTGAATCGGCAGCGTACCTTCTGTGCTCTGCATCATCCTCCTGGATTGTTCAACAATTGACACCAGGCTAAATCAACAATTGGGGGAGATGAACGGCAGGGCCATTTACCGATTCGATGGAACCACAATGTACATTCGATTATTTTTAATTCAATTCACGTGACAGAAACACGTGGAAGATTGCTCTAGTGAATTAGGAGTTTGATAATTCTTTATGGGCATTTTGGGAACACTTTTCGGAAAATTTTATCATGTGGTTTCACGGAAATTTCGAAGCATTTCGCAGTTGGAAATTCAGAATTTCATGGAATCAATGAGACCTGTCAATTTCAGTTCAATTATTCCCTAACAATTAATGACCAACGGGAAAACTCCGGTAAATGTACTTTTGAGGTTTTAACTTATTGAATTTCAGCATAATTTAACGTTGAACATCCGTTTTCATGAGAAATTCAAATTAGTTGAGGATTTTTTGTGCTGATTCTGCTCAAGAATTTGGAATTTCATTGGATTTCCAGAGAACTCTTATATTTCATAATTTTTTCCCACTAAATCTCATTCAATATCTTCGTAAAATGATTTTAAAAAAGAAAAAAAATACATTTTTTTAGAAATCATGGAAATTCTTTGAACCTCACGTTGAGTTAATTTTGAAGAATATTTTAAGCATAAATAAATTCACTACACGTATTGCTTATGAATAATAATATAATATCAATAAAATCGTTTTTAAAATTGATGTCAAAACACGAATAAAAGAAGTGCTAGACCGTTTTCAACTCCATTTCTCCCCGAAGAAAGAATAAACATCCTCTCCCCATTTAAACGGCATCAACATCGTCAAATCCTCTCCCTCCATTGCTCCCAATAACTCGCAAACAAATATCCACCATATTCAGAATTTTATGAACGAATCAATGGGAATTGTCAATTTCGGTTCAATCATTTCTCGAAAATTAGTAGACATCAGAAAATTTCCGCCAAATATATTCTTACATTTCTAATTTATTGAAATTCAGCGTAATCTGACACACAATATCCGTTTTCATCGGAACTTCAAATAAGTTGAGGGGTTTTCATCTTAACGCTGCTCAAAAATTTGGAATTTCCTTCGATTTTCAGAGAATTCCGACATTTTATAATTTTTTTCCCTTAAATCGCTCAATATCTTCTTAAAATGACTTTAAAAAAATAAAAAAAAATACATTTATTTAGAAATCACGGAAATTCTTCGAACTTCATGTTGAGTTCATTTTTAAGAATATTTTAAGCATAAATAAATTCACTACAGGTATTGTTTATCAATAATAATATAATATCAATAAAATCATTTTTTAAATTGATTTCAAAACACGAATAAAAGAAGTGCTAGACCATCTTCAACTCCACTTCTCCCCGACGACAAACAAATATCCACCATATTCAGAATTTTATGAACGAATCAATGAGAACTGTCAATTTCGGTTCAATCATTTCCCGAAAATTAGTAGACATCAGAAAATTTCCGCTAAATCTATTCTTAAATTTTTAATTTATTGAAATTCAGCGTAATCTGACACTTAATATCCGTTTTCATCGGAAATTCAAATAAGTTGAGGAATTTTCGTCTTATGCTGCTCAAAAATTTGGAATTTCCTTCGATTTTCAAAGAAGTCCGACACTTCATAATTTTTTTCCCTTAAATCGCTCAATATCTTCTTAAAATGACTTTAAAAAAAGAAAAAAAAATACATTTATTTAGAAATCACGGAAATTCTTCGAACTTAATGTTAAGTTCATTTTTAAGAATATTTTAAGCATAAATAAATTCACTACACGTATTGTTTATCAATAATAATATAATATCAATAAAATCGTTTTTTAATTTGATTTCAAAACACGAATAAAAGAAGTGCTAGACCATCTTCAACTCCACTCCTCCCCGAAGAAACAATAAACATCCTCTCCCCATTTAAACTGCATCAACATCGTCAAATCCTCTCCCTCCACTGCTCCCAATAACTCCCAAACAAATATCCACAATATTTCGTCTCCACCTCCTCCATTTTATCTCCTCCTCCCTCCCCATTACTCTTACTTCACCATCATTAAGCTCTCCGCACTCTCCTACCTCCACCGCGACGCTTCCATCTTTTTTTTCGCGTGTAACCGCGCTATATTCAGATCACGTATGGTCAACAGAGGGTTCCACATGGAAATGGTGAAAACGCTGAAGCATTATTCCCAGACGCACGCAGAACAGCCCTCTAAACTGTTGGGGCGTATGTAACTCGTACCTCGGGGTGCAACTGTATACCAAAACCCACCGGAGATACATTTTCCAGATAATGTAAATACATATACCCCAAGTGGCTCGATATAAACCATATCCTCGCGGTTAATATGAAATAAAGAAAGGCAAACACATTTTCTGTGCTTTCGTGGGATTTATGGTGGAGCTTGTTTATTCGTATGAAGTGCTTCAATGAACTTCATATTATACTTGGGAATATTTTCATGCTCTCACTTACGACTGGTATTCTCATGTTTACGGGTAAATTAATTTTTTTTAGGTGAAGTTTATGAATTTCTTGTCCTGTATTTGCTCTGGGTAATATTAATTGAATGTTGAATCAATTCGTCTTATTATTCCAACCGTGAAATTCTTCTTTCCGTATTTATTCTGTTCTGTTGTTTATTCGTGTGGTTATTATTACAGATATTTTTTGAGTTCATAATAGTTTTTCTATTTCAACTTTTTTTCATGTATTTTTACAAAATAAAATTTAGGAAATAAGTGACCCATCAATTTAAGAATAATTTCATGTTACGTACATCTATGTGAAGTACTTCAATGAACTTTATATTATGCTTGGGAATATTTTCATGCTCTCACTTATGACTGGTATTCTCATGTTTACGGGTAAATTAATTTTTTTTAGGTGAAGTTTATGAATTTCTTGTTCTGTATTTGCTCTGGGTAATATTAATTGAATGTTGAATCAATTCGTCTCATTATTCCAACCGTGAAATTCTTCTTTCCGTATTTATTCTGTTCTGTTGTTTATTCGTGTGGTTATTATTACAGATATTCTTTGAGTTCATAATAATTTTTCTATTTCACCTTTTTTTCATGTATTTTTACATAATAAAATTTAGGAAATAAGTGACCCATCAATTTAAGAATAATTTCATGTTACGTACATCTATGTGAAGTACTTCAATGAACTTTATATTATGCTTGGGAATATTTTCATGCTCTCACTTACGACTGGTATTCTCATGTTTACGGGTAAATTAATTTTTTTAGGTGAAGTTTATGAATTTCTTGTTCTGTAATTCTTCCGGGCAATATTAATTGAATGTTAAATTAATTCGTCTTGTTATTCCAACCGTGAAATTCTTCTTTCCGTATTTATTCTATTCTGTTGTTTATTCGTGTTGATATTATTACAGATATTTTTTGAGTTCATATTATTTTTTCTATTTAAACTTTTTTCCATGTATTTTTTACAAAATAAAATTTAGGAAATAAGTGACCCATCAATTTAAGAATAATTTCATGTTACGTACATCTATGTGAAGTACTTCAATGAACTTTATATTATGCTTGGGAATATTTTCATGCTCTCACTTACGACTGGTATTCTCATGTTTACGGGTAAATTAATTTTTTTAGGTGAAGTTTATGAATTTCTTGTTCTGTAATTCTTCCGGGCAATATTAATTGAATGTTAAATTAATTCGTCTTGTTATTCCAACCGTGAAATTCTTCTTTCCGTATTTATTCTATTCTGTTGTTTATTCGTGTTGTTATTATTACAGATATTTTTTGAGTTCATATTAGTTTTTCTATTTAAACTTTTTTCCATGTATTTTTTACAAAATAAAATTTACGAAATAAGTGATCTATGAATTTAAGAAAAATTCAGTGTTATGTACATCTATGTGAAGTACTTCCATGAATCTCATATTATACTTCAGACTAACATATTCACGAGTAAATGACATTTTTTTAGGTGAAATTTATGAATTTCTTGTTCTGTAATTCTTCCGAGTAATATTAATCGAATGTTAAATTAATCCGTCTTGTTACTCCAACCGCTAAATTCTTCTTTCAGTATTTATTTCATTCCAGTGTTTAACCTTGTTGTTATTATCCCAGATAATAATTTTTGAGTTAACAATAATTTTTCTATTTCAATTTTTATTCATATATTTTTTGATACCATCAAGAAACGTAAAACCTCTCATGACATAACAGCTAAAGATCAATGAAATTAACAAAACATTCTATTTTCCATTTTTAAAAATTGTAGTCCATCAATTATAAATTTTATTAAATTTTTCCCGTAGTATTGGATTAATAATCAAGCAGAGTTCACGATAGTTTTAAGCACCTCCCGATTTTAATAATTACTCCATGTTAGATACATGTGAAGTACTTCAGTGAAGATTATATTATACTTCAGACTATTTTATGATGAGAGGAGATGAAGTTTATGAATTTTTGGTCCTATATTTCTTCTAGGTAATATTAATTGAATGTTAAATTCCCCTTGTTATTCCAACCGTGAAATTCATCTTTCCATTGTTTACCCTCGTTGTTATTATCCCAGCTAATAATTTTTCTATTTCAACTTTTATTCATATATTTTTTAATACACGACGGAATAGCTTGAAATCAATGAAATAATTTACAAAATATTCTTGTCTTCCATTAAAAAAAAATTGTACTCTATCAATTATAAATTTTTGCATCCATCGAGTAAATATCCCATGGCAGCGAATGAATAATCAAGCAGAGTTCGCGATAAAGTTTCGAGTACCCCCTGAATTAAATAATCACTCCATGTCCCGTACGTAACAAAACTTTTTCATAAAAAAAAACTTCCATAGAATGACCCCATCGAAATTCACAGGGCTCCGGGGCATAAATCTTTCCAGATCATGACCCAGCATTTTCCTGCAAGCCACTAGTTCACCCGGTGGATTCATTTTTCATTCGTCTCCGCGTGTGCACATACTAAATGCCTTTTGTTCTATTTTACAGAGTGATATAAACTGGTTTTATTCAGACACTTGACTGGAAAGATTATACATTTTTCTTCTTTCAGCATCACGTATGCAGTACGAGTGCTCGAGTATCGACTACTTTCCGAGTGAGGAGTACAGCCCAGATCCCAGTGATTCCACTATGGCGATACCATGTGAGAAATTCACTTTTTTTAAATAATCAAACATTTTCCAAATTTTTTACACAAAAATTTTATTCTCAATATCCGATACATTAATAAAATAATTAATGGAACGTCCATTCAATTTTCCTATTATACAGTTTGGTACAGCCCACACTATAGCTTCAACCATTTTCACACAATTATTATTTGTTTCAACATTCGTTGTTTATAAATAAATAATTGAGATTGTAGAAACTTTCGGAAATCTTATTTTTTAGGCATAAAATAGATTTCTAGTAAAATTCTGAATATGAATAAATTTGCTGCGTGTGGAAAATTGATTGTCTATTTATAATTATTTATAATTATATAAATTATAATATATATTAGAAATAGTTATAAATAATTTTGATAGTAACTAATTATAATTTATTAGAAATTACTTTATAACTTATTTTTAATTATCGGTATAAATTGTTTATAATTATTTATAATTATGTAAATTATAAATAAGTTATAAAAAAATGCTCATAATTTTCAGAAATTGCAATTTTTCAATTATCTCATCAATCTTCCTCAAAAAGTCAGCTTTCTAATTTTTGTTAAGGTTTTTAAAATGTTTTCTAACGGTTCAATATCGAGATTCAAATTCAGACCTGCAAAGTTTAAACAATAAAATTATTTTAAAATAGCCGGAAAAATCCGGGTCAAATGAGGCTCAAATGAAAGCTCTGATGTTCGAATACAAAAGTGTAAAAGCATTTCACTTTAGAAAAAAACCAAATCACTTGAACATCCTTAAATAGCGAATTAAATTATTGAAAAATTCTCTAAATTTAATTAAATGAAAAGTAAAGAATCAACAGGGCCAATTCTACATAAATTTCAAATATAGACATTTTGATTATCATTAATAATAATAGATAAATCAAAAAAAAATCAATGCAATGAATTATTCAATAAATAAATAAATAAATAAACGAGTATTCGAAAAACTTAAAAAATTCAAGTGATTAAAAAGTGAATAAATGTTCTACATCTCTAACGCGACATAAAAATTTCAGACGCGGTAACAAAGTCCGCCATCTTCTTCTTCGCAGCAACAGTACTTCTCGTTATAGCTGAAGTTTGTTACTTCACTGCTCATGTATCTCGTCCTCGACATCGTCTCTGCGTTTTTGTGGCCGGAGTGGTCTTCACTATATGCGGTAAGTAAGAGTATTGGAAACTACTCTCGTTGACTTGATAACGAAAAGCCCCCAGTCCTCGAGAAATTCCCTCTCAGGATCTGAGAGCGATCTCCATCATCCCACGTTCCGCACTTTTTTCTGCCTCAAAGCCGGGGAATTCGAGTGTAACAATGCGATTGGAATGAAACATGTGACCAAACGGATGAGCAAATATTGAAATGGGGAGACAACCAGTGCAACGTACTGTGTCCCTTCCATCGTTCAATATTGATCGAGTGTTATTATTATTTGAATGGAGGATTCATGTTTGCACTTGTCAACAGGTCTTCTCATGCTCGTTGGAATGATCATGTACATATCGGTATTTAAGGCGGAAGTTGGAAGCAAACTGAGACCCAAATCCTCCTTTCAGGTCAGTAATGAGGGGATTTGTAGACACATGTCATTTTTGGCAATTGCATGTTGATTTTTGCTCGAATAATTTCGGATGCTCAAGACTCGAACGCAAAAAGGGATTTTTCATCACTTGTGCGTAAAGTTTAATCCAGTAAATCATTTTATTATTCATCTTGAGAAATTTTGTATATTCAAATGAAATTTTTTTTATTTTAGTCATTTTTATTTTAGTTATCACCCTTGGTCATCAATTTTTTAACATAATAAATCAGAATATGGTTTTATTGCTTCAGAAATCGATGAAAATGAAAATTCATGAAGTGTCTGATGTCAATTGCAAATGTTGAAGATTTTCGGAGGACTTCTCTTGAGAGAATTATTATTCATGTTTGGGAATTTAAAAAAATCATGGAAATTGCAAAATTCCTTAAAGCAATAAAACCCAGAATTATTCCACTTACTCCATTCCATCAATTCCAACAACTTTGTTTTTAAGCAGTATAAGAACGATAGGATCAACACTTTAGCCATAAAGAATAAAATAAAATGAAAAAATTTCTACTTTAATCATCACACTATACTTATTTAATTTGGTTGTTCTATCATAGCATTTGTCATCAATTTTTTAATATAAAAAATATAAATATGATTTTATTACCACAGAAATGGATGAAAATAACAAAAATTCATGAAGTGTCAGATATCAATTACAAATATTGAAGATTTTATAAGGATGTTTTTAAGAAAATTTGCTATTATTCACATTTGGAAATTTTTGAAGAAGTTCCTGCAAATTGCAAAAATCCTCAAACCGATAAAACCCAGCATTATTCAAATTACCCCATTCCATCAATCCCAACAACTTTATTATAAGCAGTATAAGAACGAAAAGATCAATCCCTTAGTCATAAAGAATTAATAACACCCTTGATGGATATTCGCAACAATCCCAGGACTCATGAATCAAAGTAATAAATACCGCTTTATGGATGCGTCCCGTATAAAATTTGATGGAACGCTTTTTTTCCCCGCTATCCCCCATTTCTTTTTATCCCCAGCAATTTCCCACAGCAATGCAGAACTCTTCTATTCCATTCGATGCTTCTCTCGTCGTGTGATGAAAAATTTTCTACCCTCTATTTTTCAGGGTCCCCCGTTCACCTACAGATACGGTTTCTCATTTCTATTGTATGTCAGCGGATTTATCACAACAGAAGTCGCTGGTACATCCGCTATATTTCTTTACATATCGTGGCACCAGAGGGACTTCAACAGGCGAGAGGCTAAGCAGAAAAATTGTGATGTAAGGGAAATGTTGATGGATATGAGGGTTCTCAATATCTTCCTGGAATCCGCTACTATAATTATCGTATTTTAAAATACACATGTAGGAAAAATTTTACGGAGAAAACGGTTCTATTGAAAAATTCTGTCGCTTATCTGTGCATTGTTTTTCGATAGAAATGTTCAATGGAAAATATTCTATAGAAAACAATTGATAGAATTCAATTTTTATAGACAACTTATTCTATTGAGATATTTTCAAAATTACTAAAAAGTCCCATTTTTTAAAAATAAATAAATATTAAAAAATAGACAAATAGAGTGAAAAAAATAGAAAATTCATGTCCAGAGATTGCCATAATAAAAATTCCACAGCTTATCTTTCCTTTTTTTTTTCAATGAAAACGTGTTTAATGGAAAATATTCTATAGAAAAAAAATAATAAAATTCAATTTTTCTAAAATGAAAAAATTTAAAAAATAGACAAATAGAGTGGAAAACCTTAGAAAATTCATTTTCCCATAATAAGAAGTCCAATATAAAAATTTCTCATAATTTTTTATCTCCTTTCAACTCAAAATTTAATGCAAAACTAACAGAATAAAAATTGACGTCTCACAGATGAAGTAAAATGCACCGTATAATAATTAGAATATCTCCCGATCAAATAATGCAATTCTGCTAAATCAGGGCTCATTTTAAAGCTTATGAATGAACCTTTAAAATGATTCAAGACTTTCTGAATTTCACTCAGCCAATCTCGAGTTATTCAAGATGAAACACGTTCTACCCCTTCATTATTAGAATAATTAAAAAAGAATTTGAGCACGTGAATATTATTGAAGTTCATAATTCCGTTGATTCAGAATGTCTACCACGTGGCCAATCACGTGCGTCACCCGAACTTCCACCCCCACCACGCGCACGGAAGTTTTCTCTGCGAGAGACACCAGAAGCGTTACTTCTTCAGCCGAGACTCAGTGGATCAATTGGATTTCGACGAATTCCTCCCACCGCCCCCGAGTCTCGATTATCACGACTATCCCGGACAATTTCCCCGGGATCTGACGACCCAGACGGTGAGGAAACAACAAGGACTCGTCATGAGAGCAAAATTGCCCCTCCGCAAAAGGTGTTTTATCGGTTTTAATTCCAGATAAGCACAACAGCCGATGTAATTCAAGACGAATGCAGCCCAGGACTCCCTCAGGAGTTCGTGACGTTCGATCTGGACGCACCATTTCCGCCTGGACCTCCAGTGAGGAATAGCGAGTGGCCCCTGGAAGCGTTCAGACGAACAACTCCAGTCTGATACAGCGTCAGGTATAAAAAATATTCAGGAAATATATATTATTTTTTTTATTTTATTAATACAAATACTTCAATTTGAAAGAACAGAGAAGCGCATTGTTTCATAACGATTTTAATTTGTTAATTAATTCATATTAATTAATTGTGGACAAACAAAAGTATGAACATGCCAAATTGCAAATCAGTTTGATTGTGCAATCAGAGAAATGGGCGTTTGAATTGAATTAATCTGTTGATTTGAAATTTTCTCATTTTTTTGAAAATATTTCTGAAGGAAATAAATTATAAATTAATTGGGTGAAATAGATAATTCATCAGTCCGAATAAATCCTAGAAGCGTTAAGACGAACAATTCCAGTCTGATACAGCGTCAGGTATAAAAAATATTCAGGAAATATGTATTATAATATATATTTTTTCATTAATAAAAATACTTCAATTTGAAAGAACAGAGAGTTGTATTGTTTCATAACGATTTTAATTTGTTAAGTGATTCATATTAATTAATTGTGGAGAAACAAAACTATGAATATGCCAAATTGCAAATCAGTTTGATTGTGCAATCAGAGAAATGGGTGTTTGAATTGAATCAATCTGTTGATTTTTAATTTTTTCCCTAATTTTTTTGAAAATATTTCTGAAGGAAATAAATTATAAATTAATTGTGTGCAATAGATAATTCATTATTCTGAATTAAACCTGCATTAGAATCCCAGAAACAAAGTATTACATGTCAATAAATTCATTCTTTTCGTCGTCTGATCAATAATTCCGTTTCTACTTAAGCAAGTCTTGCTTGTTTCCAGGAAACATTTGTTCCCATATTTGTTCATGCTGATTTTAGTATGTTAATTAATTCAAATTAATTTATTCTGCACAAACGAAGCTCAAAGTATTCCAAGTTGCAAATTTCTTTGATTTGCAGTTTGAATTGACTAAATCTGTTGACTTGAAATTTTTTCACTGATTTTGACAATATGTTTGAAGAAAATAAATTATATATAATGATATGAAATAGCTAATTCATACATTGGAATTCCATAAACAAATTAGTACATAGCAATAAATTCATTCCTTTCGTCGTCCGATCAATAATTCCGTTTCTACTTAATAAAGTCTTTTGCTTGTTTCAAGAAAACATTTGTTCATATACTTCAATATGAAAGAACAGAGTCACATTCCTTCATAATGATTTTAATATGTTCATTAATTCATATTAATATATATTGCATAAACAAAACTAAAAATATTCTAAATTGCAAATTGGTCTGATTGTGCAATCCGAGAAATGGAGCATTTGAATTGAGCATTTGAATTGTATCTGTCGACTTTGAGTTTTTCCACTCATTTTAACGCTATTTTTGAAGGAAATTAATTATAAATTAATTATGTGAAATTGATAACTCATTATTCCAAACGAATCCTGCATTAAAACCACGTAAATAAATTATTACATGCCAGTAAATTCATTCCTTTTCGTTATCTGATCAATAATTCCATTTCGACTTGAGGAAGTATTTTTTATTTCAAGAAAACAATTGTTTATATTTAACAAACTATTAATTTCATGTGAATAAAAACGCAAAGCCAAATCAAATTTAAACATCAATTTGATTCTAATAAAATTTAGTTAATTTGAATAAACCATTTCTCTAGGTACCACAACATCTCAATTAATTGACTAAAAATTTTTTTTTTCAATTTCTAAGATAGGCTCACAGCAACATATATAATCAGTCCATCAATTGATCAAGCATTTGAGTTTTTTTTACGTTGAAATAAAGATAAAATTCAAGAAAATTTGTATTAATTGCAAAAATGACTGCGAAAGGCCAAGGAAATAAATTCTCCTGAAAATATAGAGATATTATCAAAGATTTAATTGAAAAATCTTTAAAGGATGATTCCAGTAAAAAATTATTACATGTTAATGAATTCATTTTTTTCGTCGTCTGATCGATAATTCAATTTCTACTTGATAAAGTCTTTATTTGAATTTAGAAAACATTTGTTCATATTTAAAAAACTATTCATTTCATGTGAATAAAAACGCAAATTAAAATCAAATTTAAATATTTATTCAATTCTAATAAAGTTTATTTAATTTAATTGAACCATTTCTTCAGAAATAAACCATTTCGAAATGAAATAATTTCGAAAAAAATCCAAAATAGGCTGACAGCAACATATGTAATCAGTCCATCAGTTCATTGATGTTTTGAGTTTTTTTTTTTCAAATTATGAGTTAAAATTAAGTTAAACTCATTGAAATTGGAGATTTAACTTGTGTTAAAATTCGTCTCAATGGCAAAAATTGCTGTAAATGACTAAAGAAAATTAAGTTTTCTAAAAAATATAGACATAATGTGAACGATTTAGATGTCTTGAATCTAATAAAATTTTCAAATTAACTAAGAAAATTAATTAAAAAATGGAACTAAACTGTTGAATTTTCATTTAATTTCATTGTTTTGAAGGTACGCTAAGCTGGTTGAAAATCCTGCGAGCGACTCATCCGAGGCTTCCGATAACGACGAGATTAATCACTATCAAGTGGAATACAAGGGGATCCCTGAGGACGACACTTGTCCCATAGTTTCCCTGTGAAAGCGACCTCTATATCAACTGCCAATTTTTCAGATAATAATCAAGTACCAACATCCCCGGTACAAGCCCAAGGGATGCACAAAGGAAATATCGCGTAATTGCGTCGATGAAAATTCAGTTGTAAATCCATCAAAAGGGTGAATTTCGTTGCTATTCACTCATCTCTTTTGATCGATTCACACCGAAATGAGCGGGAATTGGGACGAAACAAACACCCCTGACTCTGTTCCCAATGTTAATAACCGAATGAATTTACTTCCCATCGAGTTATGAATATTTTTGCACAGTCGAGTGTTTATTCCGTCAGATAGATAGATCAATTTGTAAATAAGCAGTATTAAAATCAATATCAATTGACAGCACCTTTACATGTGATGATTTAAGGCTGATTTGTTCGAGTAATCGAGGTGCTCGTTAAAAAACCTCTGCAATTAAGTGTTCAATGTTAAAATTTTTGAAATATCTTTTTACCATGTAAATTCAATTCGTTTATTACACCACGAAATTACAATGAGAATCTTCGTGATTTATAATGTATATAATATTTTCGTTACAATAATTTATAATCAATGATACTCGTCTAGTGGGAGAATTTTGTTCAATGAAAAGCTAATGTAAATTTTTCTTCGAATAGAAAAATTAGATTTACCAGAATGAATTTGTAAATGAAGTATACCAATAATTATACAATTAAATGTATCACATTTTTTTTCGTCTTTCATACATGTTCGATCAATCATACGTTTAATCTAGGAGAGGGATAATTTTATGTACATCGTCTTCTTCTTAATCGTCAGCGATACGCAGGTACCATTTATCTCGTGCCAATATTCAATTGGGAAAGTGGAAAAGAATGCGAGGAGAGATGAGGCTTGCACTCTTGAGGAATTTTTTATTTTCTTCAACGACCGATGATTGTTGGCTCGTCCGCCATCGCTATCTCCTCGGTCGGTGCTTTGTCGCGTTTACGTTTCTTGGAGAATAGGAGGAAGGCACAACCGGCTATCAAATTCCCCATGCAGACGAACCAGGCGAGGATGAGGGAGTAACCGTAGTGCATTTTAGCACCTTTCGGGAATTTTTCGGGGATGTTCTTCATCTCGTGCTCGATTGATGACAGGACCACTTGGATTACGACCATTCCACAGGCACCTGCGGGGAAATTCAAACAGATTTTTCGGGTTTTATTTCATGGGAATTTTCCTGGATTTTTTTTAACAGGGATCGGCATCAATGATTAGATTGTTAATATTGAGAAAAGCTTAAAATAATTGAAATTTAAGTATTTTCATTGGAAATAATAAAGGAACTGATTATCTAAATTCTCAATTGACGATGATTTCAATAATTAATAATATGGAATTGGGAATTGACTATTGAGTAGATAATTCTAAATTTCATAAGAGGATTTGCGATTATCCAAATAATCGTCAATCTTCCGAAGTCAATTATTGATTATTAATTGATAGAATAATTTGAAATTTGAGTATTTAATTGATAATTAATTTGATTTGAAATTCATGATTATGTCGATGGCTGATGGGAACAGTATTTTTTTAATTTTATTTTATAAATTAATTTATTACGAAATTTTTACGATTTATTACGAGATTTTTCGTCAAATATTTATGGGGAGAGGTTTTTCTTCCAAATAATAACAGCTATTAAATTTTTAAAGAGTTTTTGAACGTTTTTGATTAGTGAGATCAATTAACAGAAGCTCAACTACAAATGTTGACAATTTTTTGGAAATATTCATTTGAAAATATAAAAAAAGACATTGGAATGGATTATTTAATTCAACAATTGAATTAGAAATAATATATTCATCACAGATACAATTCTTCTTCATTACTGAATTTTTTGTGCATTAAAAAACATAATTTTTTGGCAAAAAATTTTGTTACACGTCAATCATTAATTAAACAAGGTCTTTCTTTTGAATAATAACAACTCCTCTATTTTTATTTTCGATTGTTAAAATTTTTTCTGATGTTTTAAAATGAAGGATCAAGTTCAGACCTCAACAAATTGCACTAATAAAATTAATGGCATGAGCTCAACTGCAAATGTAGACAAATATTTAAAATATCTCGAGGAATTTTTATGGAAAAAAATCGTTCAACTTCCCAATTTTCTTCGATTCTTAAATTTTTTTTGAATGATTTAAAATAAAAAATCAAATCCAAATCTCAACAAATTTAAATGCTAAAATCAATGAACAAAAGTTTGTCTAAAAATGTAAACAAATATTTGAAATATATCGCAAGATATTCATGGAAAAATATTTAAAAATCCATTGCAATATACAATTCAATTTAATAATTCAACTAGCAAAAGGATACTCACCACTAATGAAATGAATTCCCCCAGCCAATCTCTTGAACATATATCTAGGATTTCGAAAAGTGTAAATTGAGAATGAGAAACCCATGATCATGATTATCAGGCAGATGATGGCGAACGAGACCTGCGTTCTCGCGTAGCCTGGAATGAAGAACCAAAAACAGCATTGAAACTCGAATGCTCAAGAATAAAACCACAAAAATGAATGAAATCCAAATGCATCAAAGTGTATCGAAATAACCACTCACTGAGTACAGTTTCATCGAAATCTTCCATATTTATGGTGTGTTCATTCGGGAACATGTCTTGATAACTGCAATTATCTGCATAAAAAAAAACAAATGGTCAGAGAATTACTCAGTGATTCTACGGATAAAAACTTACAATAATAACCTAATGTCTCGCGATTCACCCCGTTTTCGCAGGACCTCCACAGCCCCTGGTTCCGGTATTTCTGGAAATCAGCTGTGTTATTGTGGGGGTATTCCACGCTGTACCAATGGTCAGTGCAAATTGCTATCGCCCATATGGACGCCGAGAGGCCTACGAGTAGAGTGCAACCTAGAAGTATTCGCCTTTCGAATATAATCTAGAAAAAACATTAATGTTATGTCACAACTGGAATTTTGGAAGAATTTTTCAATTGTTGAGTATGAAAACTAATTATGAAATTCATTCGAGTGCCTCGGAAAAATTGTTGAGTTGCAGACGATTGGAAGTGGAAATTTCAGCTTCTGACTTTTTTATTATGTTTCAGAATTAAAAAATTGCATGCAATTCCGTATTTTCCAATTACAATTTTTACTATTCAATATTTGTATTTCATCGCTTTAGAGTGACACGAATTATAATTCAGTGTTATATTTTCAATAAAATTTCGCACGCGATTTGATTAATTTAATTGCATGAGAATTTGTTTTAATCAGTGTCATTTTAATTATATTTTGCCGCAACTGCCTTTTTTTCAAAAATTTCTTTCGGATAAATAAATGAATTAAAAAAAGTACTCAAAGACGATTGAAAATTCAGATTTTCAATTATTTTCGAGAACATCTCAACTTTTATTATTTCTTCCTACTACAATAATTTTATATTGCAATATTTATCATTGATAACACAGCATTCCAAGTGAATCCTGCATTAGAACCACATATATAAAGTATTACATCCCAATAAATTTATTCTTCTCGTTGTCTGATCAATAATTCCATTTCTACTTAATAAAACATTTTTTGTTTCAAAGAAACATTTGTTTATATTTAACAGACTATTCATGTCATGTGAATAACAGCGCAAATTAAAATCGAATTTAAACATTGATTTGATTCTAATAAAGTTTATTTAATTCAAATAAACCATTTCTAATTTTTTTAAAATTAGTGTCACCTTCATTAGATTTTGCAACAACTACATTTTTTCATGAATGTCTTTCTCATAAATAAATTTCATAAAAGTGCGCAGAGTGATTGAAAATTCAGATTTTCTATAATCGGTCAGGACATTTCAATGTTTATTATTTCTTCTCACTAAAATAATTCTATTTCGCAATATTATATTGCTCAATTTACGTATGTGATCCTTCAGTCAGACAAAAATTCATGCGTCAATGAAATTTAAATCACGAATTCGAAAATGCAAAAGAACTAAAACTAGAACTCAGACCGGAATATTGAATATCTATTCAAGAAGAATGTCCAATTTGCATTGGCAAGACGATATGGAATCACTCAATGTTCGACATTTCCCTCCCGTTTTCTCTGATTAGCTCCGGAAAATCGAAGTCGCCCTACGGAATACCAAAGTGCTCCCCAATCCTGCGAGAATATCGGTGCTACTTCTCAAAATCATCTCAATCCCTCCGTTTTCAATGTTCAATATGTCGAGATCGACAAAATGAAATCCTCCCATTCTTTTTCCATTTTCAATCTTCTCCTCTCAAATGTAAAATCAACAATATCAAAATCCTATCCTCTTCACGCCTTCCAGAACATTTGGGCTTCAAATTATGTTTTATTCTCAAATTACATGTACGACAAAAATTAATAGTATTTTATTAGTTTTTAATTACTGTTAAAAAATATTAATAGTAATTTTTATTTGTTTTGGGCCGATCCTATTGCGCATTTTTTTGGTAGAAAATCTTCCATGGAAACTATTTTATAGAAAAAAATAGTAGAATTCCTCCTCATGAATTTCCTAAGTTTTTTTCCACTCCATCTTTTCTTCTGTTGTAATTACAAAACTTAAAAAATTTAAGCCAAGGAATTTCTATAGAAAATATTTCAATACAATTTTTTCTATGGAATATTTTCTATTCAAAATTTCTATTACAAAACACGGCGCGGATAAACTATGGAATTTTGTGATAAAATCGGCGAAAAATAGAAATTTCAATAGAAGTTCAATTGAATTTTCTAACGAATTCGCTAGGCCTTCCCATACGGAACAATGTGGATTCTGAAAATTATATATTTTATATATGGAATTGACCTGATTTATATTTTAAAATTATATTAAATGTAAATTTATATGTATTTCACATATATTTTACATAAATCTTATATATATTCCAAGAATATATTAAATTGGCCTTATTATTCATATATTGTTCCATGAGGTCCCTATAAAATTATTCGCACCTGCAATTTCAAATTAAGACATGAGAATCTTCATTAGAAATTTCCAGGATCTTAAATCAAGTTTTTCTGAAAACTGAAACCAACGTTGACTTTTTGCCAGTTTTTGATGAATATCTCGGAATCCAAGAGAGATACCAAAATTGTTCTCATAACATTTTTTATAACCCTCAATTGGCTCCACAAAAAAGGGTATAACAAAAAAAAATCTACCTCTATTAGATTCCGAGATAATCGTCAAGAACTTTAGTGAAAAGGGGGTTTACCGCTTTGCTACTGATTTTAAACCCTTAAAACCCAAAAATCCGGATTTTTTTAGTGAATTGAACATGCAAAAATGTGGTTCGCCCCCTCGAATAAAAAAATAAGCGTACACTCCATCGGTATACTAAATTCCCCCAGTGGAGCTGAGTCACGTGTGATAAAAGCACTCCTGGAAAATCGAATGATGCCGAAGTAAGGCGAGAAGGTGAACCAGAACGGGAGAAACCCCCCAAGACCCTGCGCAGCTGAAAGAGATGGGAAAAGGTCACTCACCTGGTTGTAGAGTGCTTTCATGCGGCTCGCCATCTCCTTGCCTTTTCACTTTACAAAATATAGGTGTGGCGAGAAGATTGTGGGATCACTGTCCCCGGCGAATAAATAAATAAGAACACCCTCAGTTTTTTGCGTCAACACTTTCAGCGATTCAATTTCGATTCACTCTCGTGTTTACGATGCAATTAGTTCAATCATCTCGTCGAGTTTTTTCTATTTACGATTATTTCACGGAGGTTACTCTCTCGGTGCGCAAATTGCCCCACCAACCGGCAGTCAATCCACAAATTCCGGGTTTGTATCTCCGGTGCATCGGCGAATGTTCATTGCCCATTCACCCCCGGGGGAATTAAATCACTTGGGGAAACTCACTCCTAAGTGCGACTATTTCAACCACTCGATTTCCATTCCAATTAAACGCATCGTTTAACCATCGATCTCATCGCATCCCACGTTCAGCGTTATTTTGGGAAAACCACTGGTTCGATGGTATCCGGGGAAATTAATTCACATTTTTGTAGATTTCCGGGCGAAATTTCCGGGAGGATAACGTATCAGAGGGCTGCTGTGTGGGAAGAAGTTTGGAGGAAGTTATTTGAATTTTTCCCCGATTTAGTTGAAACCCGGGGTGGGGTGAATATATTCAGAAACTCTGGAAAATAGAAATGGAAAATTAGATGATTTTATTTGAGATTGATTGATGTTTGAGTTTGAAATTTGTTGTTTGGTATTTTATTTGTTGAAGACTCAGTGGTTTGGGCTTATTAAAGGGTCAAATCATTGGGAAATATGCACGGAGAGATGGAGTTATTGCTAGATTACTGAAAGCTTTGCGATGATTTTGTTTTTTGACGTTAATAAAAATTGAAAAAATTGAAACAATTGAGATGTTTTCGGGGAAGTTTATGAAATAATCGGGGGATTTAAATTGACAGAAATTATGTACTTTCTTCATGAATATTTTATAAATAATAGATTTTTCCACTCTAAAATTTGAAACAATTTTTAGTGTTGATTCATGAAAAATAAACGGTTGAATTTTTTGTTGTTCTCACACTATTTAATTAACAAGTTCAATTATTCCAAGCGCCTAAGTCGTTGTGATTAAACATCATTATTTCTGTTCGACTGTAGACAAAAGAATTTGCTATGATTAATTAATCAAACTATGAAAACATTTTTAAAGTCTGAGGAAAATTATAAAAATGGGGGAGATTCATGCGATAATTGAAGGATTGCAAACTTCTTCATAAATAATTGATAAACAATCAATTTTTCATTTTAAAAATAATCTTATTAAAACATGAAAAATTAATTTACGTTTGGAATTTTGTCATAAATTAATTTCAAAACAAAAAAAAGTTGTCTAAAATTATAAACAATTTTCATTATTTATCTAAACGAAACAAATGTTCAAAAAAGTGAAGTTTGGTAAAATGTAATTTCTAACTTTTAATTACATCATTCAATTAACCAATTTGATGGTTTAACCCCCCTAATTTCTCTTGTATATCCCCTCCATAACTCCTTAATCTGTTTGCACATCCTTACCTAATTACCCCCGCCGGCAAAATAATTAAAATCACACATAGGACAACGAATATTCGTCGCCACCGAAAAATAACCAATCAATTTTCCACTTCCAGGATAATTTTATCATAAAATAAAAAATGAATTCTCATTTAGATTTTGTTCCTAAATTAATTGGACGTCAAAACATTTTTTCCGAAACTTTAAACATGATTTGTTTAAAATTAAAAATATTTAGAACATTTGTACATAAGAGAAACAAATGTTCAAAAACATTGAATTTTTGCCAAATGTAATTTTCAACTTTCAATTACATAATTCAATTAACAAATTTAATGATTTAATCCCCCTCATTTCTCTAGTATATCCCCTCTATAACTCCTTAATCCACTTGCATATCCTTAACTAGTTACATAAAATTAAACAATCAATTTTCCACTTCCAGGATAATTTTATCATAAAATAAAAAATGAATTCTCATTTAGGCTTTGTTCCTAAATTAATTGGACGTCAAAACATTTTTTCCGAAACTTTAAATATGATTTGTTTAAAATTAAAAATATTTAGAACATTTGTACATAAGAGAAACAAATGTTCAAAAACATTGAATTTTTGCCAAATGTAATTTTCAACTTTCAATTACATAATTCAATTAACAAATTTAATGATTTAATCCCCCTCATTTCTCTAGTATATCCCCTCTATAACTCCTTAATCCACTTGCATATCCTTAACTAGTTGCATAAAATTAAACAATCAATTTTCCACTTCCAGGATAATTTTATCGTAAAATAAAAAAAGAATTCTCATTTAGAATGTGTTCCTAAATTAATTGCACGTCAAACAAAAATTTCTAAAACTTTAAACATGATTTGTTAAAAATTTAAAATATTTAGAACATTCTTTATTCAAGAGAAAAGGTTCAAAAACAGTGAATTTTGGCAAAATGCAATTTTCAACGTTCCCTCCCTCATTCAATTAACAATTTTCATAATTTAACCCCCTCCACCCCCCTTGGTCTCTACTGCACCCACTCCACAACTCCTAATCCCCGTGCACATCCTGAACTAATTACCCCGCCCCCAAGATAATGAAAATCACACATAGACCAGCGGATCCACGTCGCCACCTTGTTAACTTAATTAAGCCCCCTCGAAGCTGATTGTTCCTCACTTGGCTCCTCACCAGTTGCACAAGCCTCACTCCCGGTATTCGGCATTACTTCCCCCGGCACTCGTCACCTGAAAGCTCTTTTGTTCCTCCGCTCGGAGAGCCCAGGCGTATTGGCATGACCGCCAAAAAAACCCCGCGACTATCGTTTTTCCTCTCCCGTCCCCCCCGCGCAGCCTAATGTCAACAGTTCGACACTTAAAACCCAAATGTGTCTGCGGCGCGGCCTTCGCGCAAGCAAACAATAACCGAGGGAGGCGAAAATCCGCGGAATTTCGTCGGTTACAGTAGAGTATAGGTACCGAGCAAGTGGCGATAAACCACCGGTTATACTCGAACACGTTGTTACCGCCGGTGGTCGTCTCAAAACCCACCTCCCCTGTGCTCTCAATGCGTATATTTAGATGTCTATGTGTGAGGGGAAGAAAAGAGTTAAACATTGGCCCCGTACTCGACACCACATTCGACGTGACTCCTCTTTCCTACCCGGAGCTAAGTATAGAGTTTGTCTAGCTGAGCGGTCCGTTTACGTCGTTAATTCCATCGACAGCCTTATCATCTGCGATCGTCAAATATCCCCGGCTCATTCTATTCATTCGGCGGCGAGAATCCAATTGTTGCATCATTTAAAATTTGTTTCGTAAAATTATTCGAAAAAATTTCAGGGGAAACTAGTATGAGTTTTGAAAGGCGTGGGATATTGGAGTGAGACTTTTCATACGTTGAAGATCCATTATGTAGATCTGAAAACGAATAATTAGTGCAAAAAAATTTTTTGTCATTGTTCTTTTGCCCGAAACGCTTAAAATGCAAAAAACTGAAGGGGCTCCAATTTTTGAGCTACAAAAGATTTTTTTTTTCAAAATTTTTAGAAAAATGTGGGGAACAACAACTACGAGCCAGTTTTTTGGAATTCGACTCCTACACAGCTGATTTCGGTTTTTTTCATATAAAAAAATTCACTATTTGTGTAAAAAAGTACAAAAAAAGCAAATTTAGCCATGTAAGAAGCGAAATAAAAATAAACTAGCTCGTAATTGTCATTCCACATATTTTTCCGAAAATTTTGAAGAAAAAAATCCTTGATAGCTCAAAAATTGGAGGCCCTGGACTGTTTTTGACATTTTAAGCGTTTTCGGGCAAACGAACAATAAAGAAAAATTTTTTTGCACTAATTATTCGTTTTCAGATCTATATAATCGATCTTCAACGTCTGAAAAGTCACTCCAATAACGGAAATGAGTGCCCGTTTTACCTTACGTTCCAATGTACGTATTTTTTTACTTCGAAGAATGTGGAGTAAAAAATTCTGCATCACGATGGTACAATGCGGACGCTTTGAATTATTAATAACGCATTCATTTTCTATTATTCGCCTAAAAAATTGGTAGGGAATTTTTTTAATTGAGTTATTGATTTTTACTAATTTGAGGATAAAAATGCAGGGGAAAAACAATCGGAAGTGATAATGCACAGTTGATTAGTGATTTTAGGGAGAATTACATTAAGTTAAATTTAGGGAAAACAAAATTATGAAATTTGAAATTTCTATGAAAATTCAATGAAATTCCAAAAATTTGGATGAGAACAAATACGAGTTCCCCAATTCACTTGAATTTTCACCAAAACAATATTCATTAACAAATTGCATTGATTTTTGCACATTCTCATTAATTTTCTTGAAATAATTTAATCGGAATTTACAGTTTCCATTGAGTTTTCCATCAAATTTTATTTTTAACTGACAAAATTTTTAAAAAATCAATTTTTTTGAATTCAAAATCTTTTTTTGCACTTAGTGAACAATTGAGACCAAACAAGTGGTCTTTTTTCTCAATTCCAAATTGTTCACTTGCAAAATAAAAAATCTCAAAAATTTCCTCAATTTTTTAAATTCAAAACAATATTTAGAATTAAAAAGAAAAATTCGGTTTATCATCTTGGATTTCTTGCGTTAAGAAGGTCGGGCCGATTGTCCATTACTTTTCTTAGAATAATTTAACAAAAATCTACAGTTTCCTATGATTTTTCCATCAAATTTTATATTTTAAATGACAAAATTAAAAAAAATTAATTTAAAACAATTGAAACTCTTTTTTTGTATTTAGGGAGCAATTGGGGCAAAACGGGTGGTCTTTTTTTTTTCAATTCCAAATCTTTCCCTTGCAAAATGAAAATTTTTAAAAAATTTCCACAAATGTTTAAATTCAAAACAATATTTAGAATTAAAAAGAAGAATTCACTTTATCGCCTTGGGTTTTCTTGAATTTTTTTAGGTGAGAAGATCGAACCGATTTCCCATCCGCCCGAGAACAACTAGTTACTCCCAAGAGCCCCATATTCTACCCCATTTAATTTATTACACGGGAATAACGGCCCTCCCGACCTCCGAGACGTACGTCTTATTCCTACTACGGTTCATAACTTCCTCTTTCACTCGATTGACGTCACAAAAGCCCTTCAGTCGTCTTGCATTGTCCCCATTCCTGGTTTTTTTATGACTGAGGTACGCGGAGAGAGAGTGAAATTGAGTCGTAGAAAATTCTAGTGAGCATGAAAAATTCCGCTCCAAGCAATGTTAATTTTGTCACATGAATAAACAAATGGGATAAGTTTATTGAAGCTAAAACGGAGGAAAAAAATACTGGTCTTTCGTCGTTGCGCGCGCGCAACTGGCAGTTGACGGAGAACTATTTTCGTATCGTTTTCTTTGTTAATTTTTTTTCGGGCCGGTTTTTCACGGTATCTTGCTTGTGGTGAGGGGAGGGGGTTCACGGAGAAACTTACAGTTACAGTTGTGCTTCTTTTCTCATTAAATGTGAGAATTAGAAGTATTTTTTGAGGGAGGCATTAATTTAATCGTTGAGAATTCGCAACTTGACAAAATTATTGGAAATAGGGAAATTTAGGTTAACATAGTGATGAATTGTTAAATAATTGGTCCTTCAGCTC